ATAAATAAGACAACATAATTTATATTACATTTTCACTTATTCTAAAATAAGATTATCTATAATACAATTAACACGTAAAAGTTGTTGGTACTTATTTATCCAATCTAAATACGGGGTAGTCCATGCAGCAGCACACGGATGACATAAATGAAAAAAATGTGGAGTAATTGTAGGGATCGGATATCTTTCTGCCAAGTCTACTTTCACATAATGGTTATGATTAACGTACCCAATTGCAAAATTTACATGTTGATACCACAGACACGATGGCGGGGTAGACCTAAGATATGTTGAACAACCTGTAATGTCTATAACGTGCAAGATCACATTACACTTTGAAGCAACCAGGATACCAATTTCAGGCATTGTCATCCAATGTTCAACCGGTGCACCTCGATCTGATTGAAAGAAGTTTAAAATATTATAAACTATATTTCGATATTGACTTCCAAATATGTTGAGGTATTCTATTTTGTATGCGTCTAACTCTTGTATCAAGTTAAACCGAATTGTTGGCCATGCATCTTCATGAAGACTAATGTGGACAGCTATTGCTCGGAATCCACAATTTCCATCACCTCTCACAACATGAGTCTGTCTAATGTAAGGGTGAAACATTTTTGGAAATTGATTAATATATGGATGTGCATTATAATTATTGTTGAAAAAATAATTATGCCTAATTGGTTTTCGGTAGCTTATTTCATTCAAGTTAACAAATGATGACTCGTTCGAACAACTACGTCTAAGGGGTCTTTTAGCTGTAAAAGACGGATCAACATGAGGTTTTCTGAAAAGTTTATCCTTCAAGGAGGGACGTCCACGAGTAGTCTTGTTAACAACTGGTTCACAAACCCAAGTTTTTAATGCATTGGTTATCTCTTTTATCTTCCTTAGAAACTAAACTTACTAGATCTTAATTGTTTTTTAAATTCCTCGGTAAATATTTGGACTTCATCTTCACAACCATTATCATCAATTTGTAAAGATTGGCACGATGATAAATCGAACTTCGTCCAAAATACATCAATCGAATCAATTGGGATATGATGACCTTTGTTGGAATGTAGCATTTGTTCATGCGCACATGGCAACCCGTAACTTGTACGTAGTAGACAATTACAATTTCCAAAGAATAAGCCAACAGATTGAGCATGCCGATATTCCTAGAGTATTATGTCTAGTGCATAAAGTGAAATAGAACCACACAATTGTTGGAAGTGTGGTATGTGATGAAGATGTTTCATGACACTTCTGCTCTCTTCAATACTTGCTTTAATTTCTTTATCTTGGGATTGAATGAGTTGATTGATCTTGCTCGTAAATGTCAGTAGACTTGATTGGGCATAATCCAAGTAAGTTTTCAACTTGGAATGTTGGCTCTCCATTCTGTTACTTGTCCGATTTCCGAAGTGAAGAAATTTGTCAGTCCAAACAGATACAAACATTTCTTTATATGGTGTTAACCATGTGTCATTCAGATAAGTAAAAACAGCTGAAAATTTGAACAAATTTTTTTCAATTCCACGAATAGTAATTGTTAAACCTATCAACATTTTTATTTATAATATATTCGAGTGTACCTGGATAACTGAACAATACTGCTTCAAGTTTTGCGAAATTAGACATGTAAGTTTCATTTGACTCCAAAGCAACTAATGTCACCAGTGTATTGTAAAAGGAACTCCAAGCACGGTTTGATGTTATTGCTGGTCTACAATTTCTCATAATACTTTGGTAGATGTGCCATCTACAAAGTAATCTTTTAGCATTGGGAAAAACAATATTGCATGCTTTCATTAGTGCCAACTCTCTATCTTTGACGATCACACGTGGATAAAGACATCCTTCCATTGATGATTGTAAACAATTTAATGCCTAAGTATAATTAGATATCTTTTCCTTGTGCATAAAGACAAATGCTATGCAGAATGTCTTATTAGTTGAAGTTACACCAACAACCTCAAGGAGAGGCATCTCAAACATGTTCGTTTTATAGGTGGCATCCATCAGCAACATGTGTGGAAATACATGCCATATCTCTAATGATCTAGGATGAACAAATAATAAATCTTCCAATTCATTGGTTGAGTTATTTTCCCGATCATAAAATACGTAGCCTTCATCTTGTAAAATGACATTGCAACTTCCAATGGAGTTCTACCTACATTCTTCTTAAGTCAAAGTTTCTGGCATTGATTGTATATATTGTCTTTTTTGTAGACACATTATCTGGATACTGTTGTTTGATCGTTGATAAAATATCTCTAGGTTTCACATTATTGGGTGAAAAATCTTCCAATAATTGAGCTTGAGTTTCAGACAATTGTCTTGCATATGCATGACCTTCCAAATGTAATGCAAAGTCATGATTATGTGTTTCACATTTGGCAGTTAACGTCCAACAATCATTACCCAAATGTTTTCTGATATGCTTTGATTATTCAATGCATAAAGCATTCATTTCTTTACTTATTTGGTAGTTTATTTTCTTTTATCCCAACCTTGAGTCCTTTTTATTACATTATTTTCCATTTGTTTATACTTGGAGTTAAATTAAGTGATTAGCTTGTCTTTGCACCATTAGAGTAGAAAAATCTTAACTTGAAAGCATAATGTTATGTGCTA